TTGTAATTTATTTCACGTTCAGAATACAGGTCGCATGTGACAAGAATGGAATATAAATCAGTGCACGTGATCAGAACGTGAAAAAAGCTGGTGGCGTGATATTTTGCACGAATCACTATGACATAGGTCAATAAAGCTAGTCGCCAACAATTTGATAAGCATTTCCGACATAACCGATCTCATATCCAACCAGTAAAGGCTATTGATACAATTCAGTTTAATAATACTCAGAAAAAATGCAACTGTGGCTGGTAAATGATCCCAAGTGCATCATAATCAAGCGACCGAAACTTGTCRAAATTATTTACCCATAATCTAGTAGCTTTGTCGGTCTTTGCATTCTAGTTTTTTAGTTAGCTTACTTTATCAAAGTAAGTATAAATTGTAATAAACAATGAGGTAAGTATTGTATACGAATCACATTCCCTTGATAGTCTTTGTTGTTAAGTTGAAAAGTTGTTTCTTACCTTTTGTCTCGTTTGCACAAGTAACACCGACATCTTCATAATGACCACAGTTGTGTTCACCCCAACCTACATTCCAGCAGCTCTTAAGAGAATTTTCATATCCACTACAATAGACGTTGTCCAGTAAAATAGGACCACTCCCTTTGACTTTAGCACCTCCTGTCCATAATGCTTTGCTGTAGTTCAACATACGACAGACCACGTGGGCATTACTYATGCCCCAGAAATCATCGCAAACTGTGCCCCAGAATCCATAATATCGAACCTCTACTCGGCCTTGATTTGGTGCRTTTCCATCCACCAGACGAACAGCTACGTTTGGATCTTGGCCTTGGAAAACAAGATATAATTGATTATAATTATTAAGGTTAATCAAAATATAACTGAAGGCACAATGCCCAATTTGTAGACTTGGATGTACAGAAGTGTATTTTTACCTGAAGTGTGGCAAACAACACCAGCTCTGTGGTCATTGTGACAGTTATTCTGTTCCCAATATATATGTGTACATTTATCAATAGACATCTCGGTGCCATTGCAAATCATAAATGTACCCCATGCATCGCCAGTTGTATTTTGGTATCCTCGAACAGGAAGAACAGCACCTTGACTGTATCCCAGCATTCTACATGCAACATTAGCTTCTCTTTTAGTCCAATACCCATCACAAACAGGTTTCCATACGCCATAATAACGCATTTCTATCTGACCAGCATGGGCAAAACTGCTGTTAACCAATCGAACATTGATATCTGGATAAGCTGGGGAAAACAGCAAAAATAACATGATTTAACTACGAGCTGCATATCTAGATCTTCCGCTGCTCTGTGGTCCTTTGCAGCGGCTTCAGKTTGCTTTTAAACTTAAGTAAAACCTCATATCTTTTATTGAGAGTGTCTCATTTTTAACAAGAAAATGTTTATTTGCCAAAAAAACGCATATATATATATATATATTTTTTTTTTCAAGACGACCGCCATAGAATTTAACGTGTGGCGTTTGATGGGATTGCTTCTTTTTTTGATCCGTTGCCAAATTTGACGGATTGTCCCTTCTGAAGTTCCAATTGTGTATGGCTCTTCGTGATTAATGCGTGTTTGAGGGCGGTTAGCGGTTTTGAGCAGTTTTTTTACACGCACTCGCTTGTGGCAATCAAATTGTCTGTTTAATGTTGTCATCGCGTTAATGATTGGTAACGCGACTAGTATCTTCATTTTTTCAATAGTAGGCAACAAAAATTTGTTTGCGCGTTTACTCATTTAAAATCATTAAGAGTATTTTGTTGGTGGTACTGAGCATGTGATGACTTGATAAGAAATCCATGGCTGCAGTCATGATATGACAATGAAGTGGATCGAGGGCCAGGAGGATAGATTAAGTTGCTGACTGATATGCTTACCTCTTGGTCCGTATTCGCATGCCACTACAACATCTTCACCATGGTAACAATTGTGTTTACCCACACTTTGTTTCCGGCAGCTCTCAATTGAATCTTCAAACCCACTACATAAGACATCGTCCAGTAATATAGGACCACTCCATGGTTTACTTGCTGTGCCTGTTGTCAAAGCTTTGCTGTAATTCAGCATGTGACAGACCACATGAGCATTACTTATTCCCCAGTAATCATCGCATACTGTGCCCCAGACTCCGTAATATCGAACCTCTACTCGGCCTTGGTTTGGGGTGCTTCCATTAGCGAGGCGAATAGCTACCTCAGAAACTTGCCCTAATAATAAAATTGTAATTGTTAGTTGTTTAAAAAACTATTTGAAACTTTGACCATGGCAAGCCAAGTTCCTATCTGCCTCTGGGCCAAGCTGCTAATGCATCATACTTTACAATAACTTATAAATTTCTCGCGCGCTGATTGGTTATTTTTTATCATCAATAAGAGGACAGAGAGATAAAGATGTCGTCAACGATGCAAGCGCACGCTCTTTCCGTTAGTTGTTTTGATCAGTAATCATGAGAAGTTTTTTATCCTTTTTGTTATTGTAAAGATCAAATTGACATCAGATTTTTATGTGTCTGTCCTCTTATTTACAATACATTTCTCCATCACATTGTCAAAGTAGTATGCGGATCCACTCGGCTACGCCTCGTGAATCCACACTACTTTGACAATGTGATGACGCAATTTATCGTCAATAAAAGGACAGACACATAAAAAACCGATATCAATTTGTTAATTAGTGCTAATCCAAGGTCAGCACTTCAGGTATTATTTGAGTTAAACTTGGGTTAGAAATAATCTGGCTTTGAACAACTGGGCTATTTGGTTTGGAATCCGTATTATTTTGCATTATCTTGATTTAAATAGTTTAAATTTATATCGACATTGGCCTTATTGTCTCTTCTATAGATCTCAAAGCCCTTGAAGAAGTTCCTTGATCAGTCCATAGTTAATGAAGCAGAATGCTTTGGAAACTCCATAGAACAAGGCTATTGTTTTGCGTTTGAGGTTGAACCGTACCATCAAGTGATACTGACCTTTCAATGAATCGAAGCAAGTACGGCGGAACATACTGATTTCCTTGTTATTTTCATGTATGAACATTTTGAAAGTGAAAACTTTCATTCGATGACCACAAACCATGCGGATAAATATTTCCGCGCAGATACAGTTAAGTTACTAGATGATAAATAAGAATGCATTAAAAAGGGCAATTTTCTTTTCAATAGAACGATTAATATTAATCATATTATAGGATTAATTAACGAATAATAACTATTTTAGAACGGTACTTATATATTTGATCCTTAATACTGTTAACACATGGAGCTCCTTGTCTTTTTCTGTGCACGGTCAACGTCATATAACAATGGATAAAGTCGGAAAAAAAAACACAGAACAATAGGTTTCCCAAACATTCTGATTCCCTCCATTAACTATGATCAGTCGTGGTGGTTACTGAGCTTGTATTTGTAGTTTGGTTGCTAGAAACGATGCAATATACCAAACTGCATGCGCACTGTTCTAAATATAGAAATGTCACTATTAAACTATTTTATCCTTAATACGACGTTTCTAAAACTTTCTTTCTTTCTTTGTTACTTTCTTAATAAGCCTTTTCATAGTTTAAGAATCGATTCCACTGCGCATGCGAATTTCTCACCTTCTTTTGTTTAATTAAGAACAAAAGAAGGTTTAGACAAAAGAAGGTGAGAAATTCGGGATAAAATCGCATGCGCAGTGGAATCGATTCTTAAACTNTATTCCCCAGTAATCATCGCATACTGTGCCCCAGACTCCGTAATATCGAACCTCTACTCGGCCTTGGTTTGGGGTGCTTCCATTAGCGAGGCGAACAGCTACATCAGAAAATGTTCCTAATAATAACATTGAAAGGTTGTTAAATGTTGACTAAAAAAATAGGCTTTCGCTATGGCAAGCCACGTTCCTATCTGCCTCTGGGACCAGTTGCTCAGGCATCAAAGCCCTATTAGTGCTAAGCCAAAGATCAACTCTTCAGGTATTATTTATTTATATATTATTTGGCTTTGAACAAATGGGCTATATGGTAAGGAATCTAATTTACTTTGTATTATCTTGTTTCAGATGGTTTTGATTTATATCGACAACGGCCTTATTGTCTCTTCTATAGATCTCAAAGTCCTTTGAAGAAGTTTCTTGATCAGTAGTGTTTTTGAGCTTACATTGTATTTTAGTTGCGAGAACTGACGATGCAATATGCCAAGCTGTACTGTTCTAAATATATCAATGCAACTATTTTATCCTAAATATAACGTTTTTACCTCTTACTTTCTTTCTCTGTTCCTTCCTTCCTTCCTTCCTTCCTTCCTTCTTTTCTTTCTTTCTTTCGATGCAATATGCCACGTTGTACTGTTCTAAATATAGCAATGCAACTATTTTATCCTAAATATAGCGTTTCTATCTCTTCCTTCTTTCCTTCCTTCCTTCCTTCATTAATTCTTAAGTTAATTCTCGTTCTTAAATTGCTATATAACACTCTTATACAGCCTGTTTTTGACTGCTGTGACGCGTTGTGGGGAGTTGTGGGGCAATTTAAACAAAGGTCTCGTCATTGAATTACAAAAAATGCAGAACCGTGCTGGCCGAATAATAACTTTTCAAGGTTATGATGTTAAATCCAAGGATGTATTGAATTTCCTAAATTGGGATGATTTGGCATCTCGAAGAGATAATCACTTGTGTTTATTAATGCATAATTCAGTTAACCATGTTGTACCTACATACATTAGCGATCTTTTCTCAAAATGTTCGGAAAATAACCCTTATAAATCTCGATGTTATTTTAATTATTCCAATGTAAGTAACTTTCATATTATATACGGCTTTCATTTAAAAAGGTTTTTTAACTTATAGAACTACCGTGTTTAAATAAAAGTGACTCAT